CTCCGGATAATTTCTCTTTCCTGAAACAGGAGCACCAGAGCTTTTTCCTCACAGTAATCGACTCACAAGACATTCGTTTATAGTCGAGACCGCTGCAGGTGTTTTAAAAAAACAAGTGAACTTGGTCTTTAAAAACGTAGTGTGACTCAACTGCATGTTGAATTCAAACAACTGAATTTTAGTTCATCAAAAGAGCTGTGTGTGTGTGTGTGTGTGTGTTAGTGGATTTATGCCAGTGTGTTGAACATGTTTTCTCTGATCTCTGGTGACATCATCACGTCTGTCTCTGAGGCGACACAGAAAGGTTGTTGCTAAGAAACGGGGTTAGGAGGAGACTAAGATGCTCCCCTCACTTGCTTGTTTTACACACACACACACACACACACACACACACACGCACGCACGCACGCACGCACGCACGCACGCACGCACACACACACACACACACACACACACACACCTTCACCACTAGGGTTGGAGGATGTTCATGCCTGCCACCCAAACACAGACACACACCTCCTTATCATCCCCTCTACATCTTCGCTCTCCAGCTCGTCTTCGCCCTTCTCCCTCACCCTTTCCCCTGATATGACGAAAAAGTGAGTCAATAATTTTTAACTCAACGATGCAACCATGCAGACAGACAGAGAGACAGACAGACCGACATGCAGCATGGGCTTGTCATCTTAGACACAAAGTTCAAACAAGTGACAATGTACCTGACAGCAGAGAAACAGACTTGCCAGAACAACGTCTACATGATGCATGAAGTGTGTTTCAGAGAGAGACAGGGAAAATTTTTCTTTTACAAAGACGACTAAAACAGAGAAACGTTGGATGAGCTCATTTAGAGGTTCTTACTCTGGAAATGTCTGCCTCCCTGTCGAAACAGACAGCCTGAGCAGCTCTTGGGATTTAAAGATGATCAGGCTCCAAAACTAAAAGCAGCTAGTGAAAACTCAGAAGTGAGCAAGTAGGGATTGACAGGAACCAAATAAATGTTTACAATCCCTGTTTGAGCACGTAGGACGTTACAATGATTACACACCATGCTGTCCGACATTTAGAAGACTCAGAGCGGAGAAGTTTTAGCCTCTGGAGCCGAGTGAGAGACGAGGTTCGATGCCAGGGACAGCTGAGCAGACGGGCCAGAGACACTGGTGTCCTGGTGTCTTCAGAGGACACATCCTGGTGTCAGGGACACGTACACACATGGACGTAGACCCTTACCCATACGAGCTTTAATGTTACAGAAACAAGCCTTTCCTAGATGAAACGATACGTCCTGCTGTCAGTCACTCGTCTCTTTTCCATCCGTATTTAATTAGCATTCCTCTTTCATTCTCCTTGATTTTAACTAAAAAGTTACATTTCACTCATTCACACCCGACTTGTTCTCACCCTCTGCTTCTTTGCAGCTTCCAAGCTATTAGCGGGATCTTTGATTGAGATGAACAAAAGCACTGAAATCAATGAGAGATAATTAAAAAGGTTTTTTTGAAGGGCAGACTCATCTCGGTGTGTGTAGGTGTGTGTCGGAGACAGAACCAGGCAGTGACGTGTTTCTGTGTGAAACATTTAACCTAAAAACGAGCTGGAAGACAAAGTCAAATGGTGAATCTGCTTAAAAAGGGTAAAATGATCTAATATGACTGTGAAATTGATTTAATGTGTATTTCAATTCAGATTGTTTCCCCCCAAAACCTTGTTTCTTGTTTTCCATGTTGACCTTTATGAGGCCCTATGCCCATCTGAAGGTTAAGATGGCAGAATGACTCCAAAACACACGTCAATAAACTATACCTTCTCCGTAACTCCGATCATATAAAAAAACAAGCTGGAAATAAAGGTATTTCATCACTTTTGATTAAAGTTGCCCAAATACATAAACATGTTCATAGTTATTTTGTTATTTAGGGACTAAGTAGAATTGTATTTTTATGCCAGGTTTTTTTAACGTGGGATGTAACAGAGGACGTTTCTGTTCCAAATGCCTTCTGAGGACTTTCTGCTGTACTTGAACATACTTGTACACTAAAACGTACTAGCAAACTTGGGTACTGAGAACCGGCCTTTTAAATCTGCAAGGTTTCAATTAGCAGGTGTAACTGGGTGGTGTCTTCAAATGTAAAACTTATTTATTAGATTAATTTCTTTTTCAAAATATAACTCTAATGTAACTCTAATATAACTATACTATTTTTTCTAGCGTGACAGAATAAATGTTTTAAAATGAATTTGCCCAAATGCAACTTTTTGCCCGGTCCGGTCTAGGGTAGGCGGCGCCGGTCCGGGGTCCGTACCAGTAGGTTTTGTTCACACACACTTGTGGGCGGGGCAAAAGATATCTTGGTGCGATACACTTGTCAGCCACTAGATGGCGCCATCAGCTTGAGCTAATAGCTTGGGCATATCGCACCAAGAGAGGTCAGTAATTATATATTTATTTATCTGATGTCACCATCTAGTGGCTGACAAGCGTATCACACCAAGACGTTTTATTTCCACATTTACGGCAGGAAGCGACGCCTCTCGTTCGTGAACGAGCTCCTCCAGCTGAAAAAACACAGCTAAAACATGTTTTACAATTATTATTATTCTCATGTTGTATTTTCATTTATATTGTCCACGAGAAAGGACAGCACAAGCACACTCTGTGACTAACGTCTGTACGTAAGCGGTAGTCTAACACTATTGGTTAATGCTGACCGGCTCCTATTGCACTGAGCTCTGCAGGACAGGGGGTGGGCTTAGTGAAAAAAAAGACATATTTCCTACATTAGTTCACAGTAAATGATTAGACCTTTATGGATACCTAATTCCTGATAGGGAAACACTCCGGATAGCAGCTTTAGGTTAGCTGCTGTGTCTGTCCTGGCGCGGTGCAGCTCCAGCCTCGGCAGCTCTGTCTCTTGGGCCATTCCCATCTGTACCGGGTCGGCCTGGGCCGGGTAGCGTAGGTTGTTTACATATCTGGGTGGCCTGGTATTTTTCAGGGCCAACCAAGGCTCATTCTCAGCCCTCTTCTCGAGAGGGTCTGCTTCAGGCCGACCAGGGCCAACACACCCACTGCTGACAGCAAATCCACACCTTCCATTAGAGCAAGCCTCTGATTGGTGGGTAGAATCAGCCCACATGGGCAAAGGCAAGGATGTGTGGAATCAACCAGGCCAGGCTGGGGCCGACTGGGGCTACCCAGCCCGGGCCGACCCAGTACAGATGGGAATGGCCCATCTCTCTCACTGAGGCATGCTGTGAGGAGCACACACACTCTCAGTGAGAGAGAGACAGCTGCTGGAGCTTCAGTCAGAGGCGATGCAACTCCACAGCATCCAGAGTGATCAGGAATCACGCATGAGGGAAGCCCCTGCTGGCTGATTCTACCCACCAATCGAAGGCTCCTCCTAACGGTAGGCGTGAGTTTAAGCCGGCCAATCAGTCGGCAGTGGGCGTGTTGGGTCAGGTCAGCCTGAAGCAGACCGGCTGGTTGAGAACAGAAACAAAAGAACCAGGCTACCCTGATGTGAATATTAAACACTGCCTGGGCGGGACCGGGCTGGCCCAGATGTGAAAGAGCCATAATATGTCATCAACATAAAACGCCTCAACTCTGCCACCTGCTGATATGAATCAGTCTCTGCAGTACCCTTCAAACGTGAACTCTGGATAGTGTTTCTCAACAAATGCTCATGTTAAATAATCTCAAAGTGACCAAAATAACAGTTTGTTTTGCATAAAGAAGCAGCCCTGTGATGTGTAGGACATGTATATGATGCATGACCCTGAATGGAGATGACTGACCAGTGAACACACTGATCTGAAGGAAACGGCTCACTCTTGTGAACTCAGATGGGCTGTGGTGAAAGGATGGTGGTTTACAACTAAATAAATTGGTTCAGCCTCCACTGAGAAGCTGGTTGGTGGGCCATCTCACTAGCTACAAGGACGCAGCTGAAACACACCACTGTGTATCAGGAGACGCACACTGAGGAGGCCTGCAGTAATGAGGGCATTAGCACGAGAGGACACATTTGTCAGACAGAGAAAAAGTGTGAGTGGGTGGTTCAGGTGGCTACTAATTAGTGAGGAATTACAAACACATCCATAACTGCACATGCCCCCCAACACAAGGCTACACAGTCCAGTAGCTCCCAGGCACAGCCTTGGGTTAGTTCATGTGATCTAACGGATCAGCTGACCTCACGTACCACATGCAGAAACCATTTCCTGACCCTGCGGCCAAGCCAAAACATTAGGAATGCTTTTTGCATTATTCATAAGAGTACTGAACATTTTGCCATTATTCATAACTTCATGTTGACAATTTCAATGCACCTGTTCACTGGACTTCATCTCTGTTTCTATTTTATTTACCAGCAAATCTTAAGATCTGTAGCTGGCTGAATGTTATTTTATCATTTTCATTAGGGTCAGAAAAGCTCAGTTAAGAACAACTAACTCCTACAACATAAGGATGTGAGGAAAAACCTCCGCAGCATCAGTGCCTGTTCCCCAGAGCTCCAAGGCAGTGATGCTAATGAAAGTCTTCATGGCAGCAAAGCTCTCTTTGTGGGTTCGAGTGTCCGCCAGAGCCAGAACTCATCACACTGGTAAAGCGGACACTTTTCTCTGTGTAATCACACAAGACGTTTAATTGTGAGGGTTAGGTCAGACGAGTCATGGCGTAAAGGTAAACTAACATTTACTTACTGCACTCCTACAGCTCCTCTTTACTCGGTACTCAACATAACTTTGACTAAGCCACAAAATTGGACAGACACTTGACCAGAAACTGTCACGAAGACAGAATTTCTTCCTGGCTCCGTCTTGTTCTCTCTGTCAGTTCTGGTGAAGCTGCACATTATTTTCAGAACAGAACCCCAGTATGGCTCTGGGAGAGCGGATGTGTGCGACTTGTTCTTCCTTGCAATTCCCTCCAAGATTCTCCACTGACATAGCAGGATTGTTTGCACAGATGCTTACATGTGCACTTAACTCACCAGCCGTTTAATGATCCTTAGTGTCGTGCTTTGAGTCTGGAGCGACTTGGTGCTTGCGTTTGTCCGCAGGATGTGTGAGAAGCTTTGTAGACAGGAAGGTGACAAGCAGTCCTGACCCTCTCCAGCATAAAGCTGCACCAGTAAGGACAGACACTGAAGAGATTCCTCCCACACGTCCTGGTTTTCACCGGACAGCTGAGGGAAAACAAAAGTGGGAAAGAAACACTTATTTTTAACCCTAACCCTTCTACTGGGGCATTATACCACGTTTTAAAGAATTTGATGTTTTGCTCCAAGCTACACAAACAGCAAAGTAATCAATAAAAAACTATCATGAAACTATTTTTAATACTCTGTTTTGCTATCTTTCTTTTTAAAAAATGTTCCTCTTCAGTGTCAGCGCAATGTGGTGGAATGAGGGCAAAACACACTGGCAGTATTTGACAAAATTTACCAAATACACTAAAATAATTGTCAGTGATCGTCCCTGTAGGAGCTATGATGCCGTGTCCTGCAGTATGTTCATGAAGTTCTTTATTCACACATCAGCACTCCTGAAGAAAAAAACTTTTACACACACTGTTTAGACATCTGGGCTTCCATAGAAGCTTCTTCAGGTGACTGATCGATCAAGTAAAAACAGATTAGTTGATGTTTATGTGTTTTGAACAAATTTATGAATATTAGGTTCCTCATCCTAAACATTTCAAAGGTGCACTTAACTTACTATGAAAAGTTGTTTTGTTCTCATACTTAAACTGGATCAAAAGGGTTAGGGTTAGGTTAATGGGTTAATCACTAGTAAACATTTAATTTCTAGTAAATTAGGGCTTTCCACAATCAGACACTTCTGCTGTAAGTCAGTTGTGCTTTCAAGTCATAGCTTGTTGAGAACTGAAGTACATATTCCTGAGGGTATTCAAATTAAATACACAGCTATGTAAGGAAGGAGAACTTTAGTAAACTGGCCACAGCATGAAGCTTCAGTGTCGCTTAGAGCAACTGGTTTCAGTGGTTCTTGAACATGAAAGTGGAGCAGCTTCACCTTGGACAGAACTCTGTAGCCCTCTGCTGACCAGAAACTGACCCAAACGTCTTTGTGGTTCAGGTAGGAACAAGTTAGAGGAGGATCAGTGTTCGGGGAGGGCTGGAATGTGCTAGTAGCTAGCAGTTAGCTTTTCCAGCTTGCTCACTCAATAAAAACAACGCTGCTTTCATGTTGGCATCATGGCGGAGCCTGGAAGTAAAAGGAAGATTATAACGTCTCTGGTGCGCTTTTGGCTAAGGAGGAAAAACCAAAGCTTCCAAAGTCAACGAGAAATTGTCATTTTATTTGTATTTGAGCAGCCTTACCTTTCACAGAGATGAAATAAAACACTGTTAGTGAACAAAGATCTGCTAAAGATGTGTCCAGGGCCACCGCATAACACAAATAAATCCAAACTCTGCTGGAGATTTTATTTATGGCGACTATACATCCATTCACATTGATGACAGCCCCGTCTCTCTACAACGGTTTTTCAGCTTTTAGTGATGTTGGATTGTTATCGACCCAACTGCGCTCCCTCACTTGTGTTTCAAAGGGCAAAGGGGCTGTGGAGAGGTTGAGGGTGTGTTGGAGGCTCCATCAACCCTGTAATGTGCTCATTAGGTCCCAGGAGACGTCCTCTTCCTTTTCCCCCCACTCTCCTTTCTTTCTCCATCCTCTCCGATATGTCAATGACTTTCCAGGATAACTCAGAGTCCTCTGTCTTTCATCATTTAACCACCTGCCATTTGTTTGAATATAATGCTGTTCACTTTTTAATTGTCTCATATTAGTATTAATTATGTGTTCACCAACAGCTACACATGGTTATTATAATTCTGTCTGACTTTAGAATTAACATTGGATTTTTAATTAAATGGTTTATTTAGTCACTCAGACTGAAATAACATAATAATTCTGGCTGTACCTAAATATATTCAGTTTTGATGGCTAAAACTATAATGCTTTATCAGCATGGACCATTCAATGTTCCCCTTATATCAGTCGCTTCGTCTGTCGTTGGATGAGTCCAGTGAGGTGATGAACGAACCAGCTAAAACAGCACAGCAGCCTTGAACCAGGAGACGTCTACCACCATGATGGTGTCTCCATTCTGTTAAAGTTTGGTGAAACAGTTGAGCTTTCATCTCACTGGTCCAAGTTCTGGAGCTGGTGTGGAACATCTAGGTGATCTAGGCAGTAATTCCAGCAAAACTGCTATTTTAATTCTTTTCATGAACGTTTCACATCTTTTACAGCACTTTAGGTGACTTGTTTAACATCAGAGGTGCTCTGACGGTTGTTGGACCCAGCGTCGGGCAGAACATTTACCTCCCCCTCCCACCTATCTGCCTCTAGAAGTCAGGTAAAGAGGCAGCTGGAGAGACTGAACAGGAACAAGGCTGCAGGTCCAGATGGTGTCAGCCCCAGAGTACTGAAGGCCTGTGCAGAGCAGCTCTGTGGGATTCTGCAGCACCTCTTCAACCTCAGCCTGACCCAGGAGAAGGTTCCAGTCCTGTGGAAGACATCCTGCCTTGTTCCAGATCCAAAGAAAACTCGCCCATCAGTCAATGACGACTACAGACCGGTTGCCCTGACATCCCACATCATGAAGGTCCTGGAGAGACTCCTGTTGGTACACCTGAATAAGCATACTAGGACATATCAGGACCTGCTGCAGTTTGTTTATCGCCATGGAGTTGGAGTTGAAGATGCCATCATCCAGCTGCTTCAACCAACCCACTGTCATCTGGACAAAGCAGGCAGCACTGTGAGGGTCACGTTCTTTGATTTCTCCAGTGCATTTAACACAATCCAGCCTGATGTACTTGACCAGAAACTCCAGAAGACACAGGTGGGGACCTCAGCTATCGCCTGGATTAAAGACTACCTGACAAACAGACTACAGTTTGTGAGGCAGAAGAACTGCACATCAAACCAGGCGATCAGTAACACTGGAGCACCACAGGGGACTGAACTCTCACCATTCCTTTTCACCCTGTACACCTCAGACTTCCAGTACAAATCAGAGACCTGTCATCTACAGAAATACGCAGATGACTCTGCAGTTGTCGGGTGTATCAGAGATGGACAGGAAGCTGAGTACAGAGAGCTGGTGGAGCGCTTTGTGGCATGGTGTGAAAACAATCATCTGACCTTGAATGTGAACAAAACAAAGGAGATGATTTTAGACTTCAGAAGAAACAGGGTGGAGTCAAACACTGTTTCCATCATGGGAGAAGAAGTGGAGGTGGTTGAGGAATACAAATACCTTGGAGTTGTTGAGGGTATGCCCTAGTGAGAAATTGCTGCAGTAATTTTCTCCAAAGACTGTGCTAAATTGCTTTGAAAAGCAGATATTAAACATCAGCACCAAAAGAAACTTCATTTCCCATGATGCTTGGCACACGGAAGAAATATGATGACGTCACAGCCGAATACCAGAAACACGTTCTGCGCATGTGCGGGAGCTCATGGACAGCTTTCCCGCGAACTCAGACAGCTATAAATTATTAACAAAGACAAAGAAACTCAGTTCTTTTGCCCAGGATCACTGGCTGTAAGGACACGCTCGTTGAACGCTCCGACTGACTTGAGCACGCGGGAGGTCTAAGTGCTCAAGTGGAGCTCACGGAACCGCTGGAAAACTAAGCTGCAAGCCCATCAGGTCTGTTCAACCGCTCGCTGCCCTTGCTGCTGAAAGGGAAGAACACAAGAACCGGGATAGAAAACAGCAACTCCATCAAACTCACGGAGAACGCAGAGAACAGCGGGGAAAGCATTCAAACCGACGGACGACGCCGAAAACAGCGGGGAAAACCACGGAGAACCGTCAAATCAAACAGTGAGGGACGCCTTGCTGTTCTGGTGATCAGAAAACTCATCTTCTCTCTCCTTCTTCCTTCTCCCGTTTCCTTTATAGTGTAGAATAAGCAATAAAACCGCGCTATTGCTTCAAATTACCAGACGAGTTTCTCTTTTCGTTCTCAAATACGTCCGTCGGGTCATTTTTGATAAAGAATAAACTGCTTATTGATCATTGTTTGGTATCTTAAAATGGGTTCTGCTATGGCCAAGCGGTGAACCTAAAAAAGATATTAATTCAGGATTAATCTTTGGTGAAGCTTCATGATCCTTTGAAACGTTTTGAGTGATTTTAAGGTTAAGTTACTTCTGATTCTAAGTGCTTTGGAAGTTAAAGTGCAAGTTGCCACCCACACTTTAGCCAGACAAAGGGGTCAGCCATCTTGTATTCAAGACTTCATTTTGAATCCATACACACGCACACACACACCACTCCTTTGTGAGAACAAAGGACCCGATTCATACATCCTCCATCACACACAAACACATACATCTTCAATTATATCACATGGTTATTATTCATTTATTTCATTGTTTATTCACTTGACAAATTGTTTAATTAAATGTTATAAAATTCAGATTTTGCCTCAAGCGACTTCTTGTGTTGACTAGAAATCTCTGCTCCTAGGATTCACATCCTTTTGACAGACTGATAAGAGTTTTGGATTCAATTTTCCCCGGTTAAAGGGGATGGTGCCCCGAAAGATTCCTAAAGAGTATCTTAATTAATTAATAACTCGGTAAATATTTCCACATTTACAGAATTTATTGAAGAATCCAAAAGTAAGTGGAAGCTTACTAATTGTTCGCTACCTAATAACCCCAACAGAGTTCACCTGGACAACAGACTGGACTGGAGAAAGAACAGCGAAGCCGTTTACAAGAAGGGACAGAGCAGACTGCACTTCTTGAGGATACTTAGGTCCTTCAATGTCTGTAGCAAGATGCTGCAGATCTTCTACAAGTCTGTTATTGAGAGTGTAATCTCTTCAGCCATCGTCTGTTGGGGTATCAGCATCAGAAGCAGGGACCTGAAAAGACTCAACAGCCTAATAAAAAAGGCCGGTTCTGTTCTGGGGACGACTGTGGAACCACTGGAGGAGATAATGCAAAGAAGGATTCTCCAGAGAATCAAGAAAATTATGGACAACCCTGAGCATTCTCTTCACAAGACTGTTCAACAACGGAAGAGTGTCTTCAGTCAGAGGCTTCTTCAGTTTGGCTGCAACACTGACCGCTACTGGAGATCCTTCCTGCCAACAGCCATTATAATATACAATAACTCTTTGACGACTTGATTATT